AGATCTGTACATTAACTGCTTATCTGCAATTTCCTCAATTCTTCAGAGTCGTCATGTATGAATGCAACCTAACGACCAGGAGATTCGAAGAATCACAAATTCCCCGGATTCAGATCCGTATACATTTCCTTATTGCGGTTTTCCGATCCTCCCAAATACGTGACTCGCAGGGTCTTCGATGCTCCTAGTTTCTCCAGTTTCGCGAAGTGTGAGGCCGCATTACACCTACTTCGAAGAAATGTCGAAACAGCAGATAGAACACGATCCAAGAACTGCGGAATCGGCAAAAATGCAGAATTTGCAGAAATGCCGAAATGACGGACTACGACCTGATAGGGATTGATCGCTTAGCTCCACCAGCGGGCCGACATTTAGAAATTTCGGCACTTCTGCATTTCCATATTTCTCCCGTTCCGCGGTTTTTCAAATCGATAGATATGCTTTCTCACTTGTGCAAATTCTGCATTCTCCCAATTCCACAAGTCTCGGCATTTCTGCATTGTGTGGACGCGTCCTAACTGCGGCCTAAGTGGTGCGTAAATCACCGACCTGGAAAACTGATAAGAGTCCTCCATCGATAGGATCCAGTGTTTACATTCCAAAATATCGGAGTATGGTGCTGTCCCGGAGTCTCATTACTCATCTGAATGTGTATTAACAATGTGAAACTCCAAAAAGTTTATTCCAAAAAACTCAAAAGACAGCAAAGTCTCAAAATTTTTTTCCTCAAATCTCAAAAATATTTAAAAAACTTTTGAGACTTTTGCTGTCTTTTGAGTTTTTTGGAATAAATTTTTGGAGTTTCACATTGTTACTACACATTCCAAATATAATAATGACCCAGCTAATGAAACTGAAGACAAAGTCATATAATCTGCGAATGGAACATCGTAACGCATGCGGTCAGGTCCGCATGCGTTACGCAGTCGCAGGAAGCAGCTTATATGTTAAGATGGGGGTCTTGCTTTCTGGTTTTCGAATTACCGATGTCAAAGAAGTCGAAATTATTATAATGTTCTATTTTCAAGGTTTTGCTTTCAGCGAAACTTCTAACGTTAGTAGTTCTGGGAGCAGTGTGCTGTCGTACGGGAGGGCTCACGCCGCATTCATATTTTGCGAATAAGGCGAATCCGCTATTCCAGATTGAACAGGATCGTGTCCATACTTTGCGATCGGGCCGCGCGAGCGATGGGATCGCGAAGTATGAACACGTTCAATCTGTGTCCAGTCGGTCGTCTCACCGTTTGTTGAGCACTTTAAAAGCGTGCTTTCTCCCAGATCACGGATTCTTCATATTCGCAAAGTATAAACAGAAACGATTTTGCAATACTGGAGTAACATTAGCGATTTCAGCGGGTACTGGAATACAACATTCTCTAATTCCAGGTCCACTGGTTGAAAGTAGATTTCGATAAGTGGAAGGACGAAGATGACTCTGGTGCTGAAGACGGGATGCCATTCGGTGGCTCAGGAGCAGGCGGATTTGATCTCAATTCATATATGAATCAAATGGGAGGTGGAGGTAAGCTTTGTACACTGTAACTACCACTTCCTGTTACGTGACATGTTGTTATTGTCCTTTCTCAAGACCTTGTAGCACAAGTAGTATAGTGTATGCCTGATGGAGCATTGAAGGCTGTAAAGGAACATGTGGCAAGTTGAGTAGGGCTTTTGCAAAAGGTGACCCGAGTAATCATATTAGAAGCTGGAAAATGAGCGAGATCTTAGCGATCAGTGGACGTCAGGCTACGTTTATACTTTGCGTCAGCGTACGGCAGCGTTTCGAGTGTACGCCGGCGACTAGGAAATAATGGATGCCGATCTAGCGAATGCCAGCGTTTTCGCAGGCAATTTTGAGCAAAACTGCTCGTGAAAACGCTACGCTGGCATTTGCTATGCCTACATCTATACTTTCCTGGACGCTGGCGTACGTTTACGCAAAATATGAGCGCAGCCCCATGTAGACGAAAGAGTGCAGACCAGAACAGAAAGTTGACGCGTTTGAAGAGTTCCAGTTGAAGCTGTCCACCATATTATAGCTTATGAAATTCACAATATTTCAGGCGGCGCCCCTGACTTTGATGGACTTGACGATGATAGTGATGGAGGTGAATATTTTTCTAGTTTTGCATTCTAAGCACTTTCAAAGCACGCGCAGGATGTGCTTGAAGATGTAT